TGGTTTGTTTTCTCATTACAAGAGCTTCAGCTATTCCCGAGGGGAGAAAAGCAACATTCTCTCCTTGCCTCTCTCCACCCTCTCCTTTGGGGCTTACAGTTCCATTTGGGTGTGTTGGTCGGTCGCCTGCTGCATGCTGGGGGTGGGAGTGGAGGTGCCTGGGGGGGACTAGGAGAAGAGAGGCCTACTCTGGACCAGCCTCTGATGCCCTCACTGATGTGCTAGTCCTTTGTCATTCTCTGTCTCTTAGTTCACAGGAACGTTAGAATGTCTTTAAGCAGAACCTTTTCTACCTCACCTTGATCTTCTCACCTATCGGGCTGGGTTTGAACTGGGTAAACTGGAGACAGTCACAGACCAGGAGCAGGCCTGGGTGTGCCCAATCTGCAGTCTCCTGGCCTGCAGGGGCTGTGGCTGTCACGTTGTTGTGTTAAGGATAGGGATCCTGTCTCACAGCTCTGCACTAACACCTGGGCCCCATTGTTTTGCATGGGTGGGTTAGCCCAGGAGGATTGTGCCTCAGACCCACTAACCAAGGCGGGGAAGAGAGGAGAATGCTGGGCTGTCTCAGGGGAAGTGGGACTGAGCCTATGAGACAGGGAAGCCCCTCCACACTCCCCACCTGGCAGCACCAGTGTCACAGACCCCAGGCTAGGGTACCTGACCTCTACAAGAATCCCCTCCTTGCCAAAACCAGTTTGGCTCAGTGGTAGAGTGTCGGTCTGCTGGACTGAAAGGTCCCAGGTTCGATTTTGGTCAAGGGTATGTACATTGGTTGCGGGCATATCCCCGGTAGGGGGTGTGCAAGAGGCAGCTGATCGATGACTCTCTCTCATCGATGTTTCTAGCTCTCTATCTCTCTCCCTTCCTCTCTGTAAAAAATCAATAAAAAAAAAAAAAGAAAAAAAGAATCCCCTCCTGTGGGGAGGGTGGGCCCTGTGAAGGGAGCTTGGCTTGGGGCTTAGGTCAGATTTCCCAGGTCTGGTTCTTAGGAGGCTGGCAGGAGCCGGCCGGTAGGCAGAACCCAGGACTGCCTGATATCTGCCAAGAGGGATGGATGGGAGAGACCAGCATCATTGGTTTTCTCTTGGCCTGGGGAGTACAAGGGTATCTGTGGAGAAAGGGTGTGTTGAGTGGTCTAGGGCCATGGTCGGCAAACTGCGGCTCTTTGGCCCCTTGAGTGTGGCTCTTCCACAAAATACCATGGCCTGGGCGAGTCTATTTTAAAGAAGTAGCATTAGAAGAAGTTTACATTTAAAAAAATTTGGCTCACAATCATTGTACTGTTGATATTTGGCTTTGTTGACTAATGAGTTTGTTGACCACTGGTCTGGGAGATTGTGTTATTGCCCTGCATCCACCCTTCCTCTCTTAAGACCTTTTTTGCTTTTCTCTGTATCTTCACTCCCTGCTGTCTGAAAGCTTTCCAGTGTCTTTCCTGGGCTAGATGACAATAAAGGACAGAGCGATCTGGGATGATTCCGCAAGCCCATCCCCTTCTGGCCTTTTCTCATCGCAGGTGGTCCTGGAACCTGTTCCTGGGAGCTTTTCTCCCCCCGCAAAGTGGTCCTGAGACTGGAGGGAGGAGTCAGGGTTGCTGCCTCATTAACATATTCATCAACAGTAATCAGGGACCTGCTGTGATCAAAGCCCTCTTGAGGGAATTTGGAGGGTCAAGGCCAGGACTTCAAAGGACTGTAGCCTGAGGGGGTGGAGGTGGGGGTGGGGAGAGGGAAGAGGAGAGACGAGGGATTAAGGGAGAAGGATGTCCTTAGAGAAAGGAATTTGTGTAGAAAAACCCTTGGTGTGGAAAAGCTGTGGGTAGTCCCCCTCCTCCTCCTCATCTTGTTCTGGACAAACCAGACCCATCACTTCTGCCTCTGGAACCAACATGTCCCATGGACCACTGGGGCGCTCAAGCAGGCTTTGAGAGGAGGAACAATTTGCATTTTATTGTTTATGTATTTACTGTGCTCTGGGAGTAAATACACAACAAGCCTCTCAACTCTCAAGCCCATGACATCTCAGATATTATGGCTTCCCAGGAAGAAGAATACGTTTATTTTGTCTTTTTTGTTTTGTTTTTATAGCAAAGATGGAAATTTATTGAAGAACAAGTACATACTCCCACGAGGGGCAGGGGAGAGAATCTCACAGCACAGACTCCCATGTGGGGAGGGGGAAGAGTCCCCTTAAATTATATGAAGGAAAATCCTAAGCCGTGATGAATATGGCAGGCGCTAGCATGTCCGTAGTGGGACTGTGGTCTAAATGGCTTTCAAGGTAGCTCCACCGCCCCATCCTCCTCTACCCCTGCCGCAGCCTCCCCCTTCCCACCACACTGCCCACCCGCCTGCAGCATCTTCTCAGCCCTGCCTGGCTTCAGACTCTTCCGGTGGCCTCCAGTCATGTTTCCCATACCACATCCCTCAACAGAAGTGCTCCATAGTAGAGTAAGCATGGTGTCTCAGTTATCTTCTGCCACATTAAAATAAATAAATAAATAAATAATTGCTCCAAAACCCAGCAACAAAAGACAACAAATTTATTATCTCACACAGTTTCTGAGAGAGTCAGGCATCGGGGAACAGCATAGGTGGGTGGTTCTGGCTCAGGGTTCCTTTTTGGTATATGCAAGTAAGTTATTTTTTAAATTGAGATATAATAGACACAGGAAATTGCATTAGTTTCAGGTGTACAACATAATGATTCCATATTTGTATTTATTTATTTCAAAATGATCACCACAATAAGTCTAGTTAACATCTATTACCACACGGTATTATTAACTACTGGAAGCCTGATGCACGAAATTCGTGCAAGAGGAGACTTTCCTTCCCCCGGCCGCCAGCACCGCTTCCCTCTGGCACCAGGGACCCAGGCTTCCCTCATAGCCCTGGGTTCGTCTGGAAGGTCATCAGGAAGGACAACCGGTCTAATTAGCATATTATGCTTTTATTATTATAGATAAGCCATAGCTCAGGGTTTCTTATGAGGCTGCAGTCAAGGTGACAGCCTGGGCTGCCGTTATCTGAAGGCTTGAGTGGGGCCGGTGGATCTCTTTCCAAGGTGTCACTCAAGTTAGTGCTGGCTGTCGCCAGGAGGTCTCGGGTCTTCTCCACATGGACCCTCCATAGGGCTGCTTGAATGTCCTCGCAACATGTCAGCCAGCTAGAACAAGGTAGAAGCCACAGTGTCTCTTATGATCCAACATTGGAGCTCATATGCTATCACTAGTGCTATAGTGTATCAGCCACACAGACCAATCCTGACACAGTGTGTGAGGGGGACTACACAGGGCATGAATACCAGGAGGCGAGGATTCTGGGAAACCACCTTCGAGGCTGGCTACCACACACCGGGAGCATCAGCTTGCGCCAGGCCAAGTGGGGTCCATTCCTGGAGCGGGACCCAGGCCTCCCCATTCACAAATGTATGCTCTGGAGCCCCGTTTCCCAGCAATTGTGGCCATAGCACCCTTTTGTGAAGGAGGGATCTGGAGCTACAAGAAATCTAAGGGATATACTTTGGAGGACCTTGACCCGGAAAAGGAAGTCTAAACTGTTTTTTGTGTCCCTGCATAGTCTCGCACTTTCAATATAGCCCTTTGTCTCCTCACTTCACTTTTTGAAGTCTGCAGTCCAGTGACACTAACACTCGCACCTACTGCCATTTCTTATGCTGTCTGGTCTGCTCTTTTGTGGGTCCGTGAGGAGAAGACATGTTAACTCTTACTCATCCCTCAAGGACCAGCTAAAGGCCACCATCTCCATAAATCGTTCCCTCATCTCTCCCAGAAAGAATTCATTTCCCCTCCCCCCCACCTTTGCTTCTATACTTCTTAATATAGTAACATCTTTGCAGGGCACCTACCACTTTGTCTTGGGTTACAGCTCTCTGTCTTCCCTCCCCTTCCAGGCATTTAACTCCCGCCCCACTCAGTGCCATGTGTTCAGTGCTTGGTACATCATTGGAGTTCAGGAAATATTTGGTGAAGAGGGTCCTTCTCCTCTTGCTCTCACATGACCTTGCTTCTGAAAATAGTTCCTGGTGACCCAGGAGAAAGCCCTTGACAAGGCCAGACCAAAAGACCCTGTCTTTCCCGAAGCAGTGGTCGGCAAACTCATTAGTCCACAGAGCCAAATATCAACAGTACGACGATTGAAGTTTCTTTTGAGAGCCAAATGTTTTAAACTTAAACTTCTTGTAATGCCACTTCTTCAAAATAGACTCGCCCAGGCCGTGGTATTTTGTGGAAGAGCCACACTCAAGGGGCCAAAGAGCCGCATGTGGCTCTAGAGCTGGAGTTTGCCGACCACTGTCCCAAACCATGGAGGCAGGTGCCCCCACACCCACAGAGTCGCCCCCTGCCTTCAGCCAAAGCCCAGATGCAGGCCGGGCAGACGAATGGCCCTGAGCCAGTTTGATGTCTATGAGGGTCCAATGGATATCTTCACCTCCCAGGCAATGCTCAGGCTCCTGGACACAGCCATGGGCTGGGTTACATGGGGTATTTCTTCCAGAACCTGCTAACTGCTCCTGAGTGCCCTAAAGGGCTGTCACAGGAGCCTCTGGACGGTAACATGGGTTGTTCATGCGTTTGGTTTTGGAGATCAGCATTTCAAAACGTGTGGCCCCAGGAGAAGCCTGGGAGGGAGCCTGGCTGGGACACCTTTGCTGCCACTGCCTGTTCCCTGGAGAGCAGGCTGAGTGACGGCGGGGCTGAGAGGCCCCTGCCTGAGCTGGCAAGCGTGCAACGGGCCCATCCAATTTATTCCTTGCCCAGGGTCAGAGCCAAATCCTGGCCAGCCCCACCATCTGGCCAGAGGCGATCGGGTCCTGCTCTCTGAGAGCACTTCCGGTGGTTCAGATGGGGTCCTCTCTGGGAGCACTTGCGGTGGTTTCCATGGGGTCCTGCTCTCTGAGAGCACTTCCGGTGATTTCAATGGGGTCCTCTCTGAGAGCACTTCCGGTGGTTTCCCGCTCCTCTTTCCCCGCAGTGGCGTGGGCCTGGCACGAGCACATTTTGAGAAGCAGCCTCCCTCCAACCTCAGGAAATCCAACTTCTTCCACTTCGTGCTGGCCATGTACGACCGGCAGGGGCAGCCCGTGGAGGTGGAGCGCACGGCCTTCATCGACTTCGTGGAGAAGGACCGAGTGAGAGGCTCGTGGGCTGGGCGGGGACGGAGCACGGTGGGGGAGGGGGAGGGGGCAGCGGGGCTTCAGGGATCCCCTCCCACAGGGCAGGTGCACGGATAGCCGGTGGAGAAGTTGAGAAGGGAGGTGGTGTGAGTGGGTGGGAGGGAGGGGAAGAGGGTGGCTGTAGAGAGGAGGGCTGGGTGGGGGAATCCCTGGGAGCATCCTCCCCATCTTGGCCCTGTAGGAACCTGGGGCTGAAAAGACGAACAACGGGATCCATTACCGCCTCCGGCTGGTGTATAACAATGGTGAGTGGAGCCCCACGGCGACACCAGATACCCCATTGCAGGGCTGAGGAGGCCCCTGCCTCCAGGTGGGGAGAGTGTGGAGTGTGCTCCAGTCATCCGAGGCCACAGATGCTCCCCACACAGCAAGCCCTCTCCACCTTTCCACCCTCAGGACTTCGGACGGAGCAGGACCTCTATGTGCGTCTCATCGACTCCATGTCCAAGCAGGTGAGCCAGCCCAGGGGTGCTCTGGCCTCCTCGGACCCCCATCTCTGGTGGTGTGCCTGAGCATCCTCATCCCTGCCTCCACGTCCCCCATGGCCTGGCTCCCTCAGTTATTGCCCCAGCCTGTGTGGTCCTTGCCCTCTAGCCTAGAAAAACGGCAACATCTGTACAAAGACCTCATCCTAGTCATGTTCCCTGGAAGCCCAGCCTAGACAGAGGGATTCAGCCATACAGGGTTTATTGGGGAGGCAGACAGGGCTCTCAGGAGAAGAGAGGGAGGGAAGCGGAGCAGGGCAGGGGAAACTCAGCATGGAGGGGGTCTCAGCTGCAGTCCAACCTCAGCCTGCTCCACAGGGAGCCCTGGAGAAGGAATGACAACAGCGTTGTCCCCTCTGAGGCAAGGAAGCCAGGACTCTGTACCCTGTATGAGTCAGTAATTGGCTGGGGAGCACTCCCAAGGGGAGCTTGTAACCTTCCAGACATTTTCAGGCAAGGCAGCGCCTATGTGTGAGAGCCAGCCTCAAGAGAAAACACATGGCAGCCAGCACTCACTGCAGCCTGAGGGGGGGAAGGGGGTGCATTGGTCCAGGAAAGGGGATGAGGTGGGGCCCAGACCTTCTACGGCAGACCCTCAGCACTTGCTGACGTGGAAGGTCGCAGGAAGGAGGCTCAGGGGCCAAGCTCCTCAGGAGCTCAGGAAGACTGACGCCCGAATGAGCCCTGATGGGCTCTTGCTAATGCAGAGCTGCAAGCCTCTTGCAGAGAAGGGGCGACTGCACGTGAACCGGGAGCTGAGCTCAAATGGGCCCATCAGTGGCCTGGAATGCCACTTGGGCTTTCCAGCAGTTTCTGTCTAATCCCAGGACAGAGGGAGAAACGGTTTCTTGATAGAAACTCTGTGGTTGCCGTCATGGGGGAGGCAGACCAGGCAGGCAGTGACAAAAAGGGATTGTGTGGGGATAAGCGTGGAAGTGGTTGAGGGGAGTCCAGAGAAAGAAGGACCCCACAAGTGGGAGGTGGCTGGGCGGCTCAGGGGTTATAAAGGGGTTATGCAGTTTAGGAAGGTTACTCCTTGCTTCAGGGCAGAGGGTGGAAGGTGGGGGGGGAGGTGAGTGAGGAAACTGACCCAAAGTCCAAGGGGGAGACCCTAGCCTGGGCTGGGGAGGTGATAAGAATGGAGAGAGGGAGTCTGATTAACCAGCTGGGATAGCCTAGAGTAGGGGTGTCGAACTCAATCAGAGAAGGGGCCAAAATCTAAAATCCAGCCTAAATCGCGGGCCGAATGGTTTACTGAACAGTCATAAACTGTCATTGTGATGGAAACGCAGCGGAGTGCAGTGATGACAGCGCGGTGCGGGCCACATTGCAAGGCCTGGCGGGACGGATTTGGCCCGCGGGCCTTGTGTTTGACACATGTGGCCTAGAGCAGTGGCAAACTCATTAGTCAACAGAGCCAAATATCAACAGTACAACGATTGAAATTTCTTTTGAGAGCCACATTTTTTAAACTTAAACTTCTTCTGACGTCACTTCTTCAAAATAGACTCGCCCAGGCCGTGGTATTTTGTGGAAGAGCCACACTCCAGGGGCCAAAGAGCCGCATTGGCTCTCGAGCCGCAGTTTGCCAACCACGGGCCTAGAGGACAATGTTTGTGAGCAGAAGGGGAGGTGCACAAGGGCCATGAGGAGCGTGGGGATAAGAGTGTCTCTCCTCCCCCCCTCTCTCCCCCTTCTCCCCCCCCCCCCCCCCCCCGTCCCCTCCTGACCTTGATCCTTGGTCCCAAGCAGAGCTGGACCTGGAAAGAGCTGCCAGTGGACAGACAGAATCTTTAGAGTTCGTGCCACTGCTGTCTGTCCTGGTGGTAATCCTGGTTTGGGGTGCCAGGCTCCGGGTTCCTGCTCTCACTCCTAGCACACACACACACACACACACACACACACACACACACCCCAGTGACTTGGAGGGAAGGGTGTTCCCAGGGGGCAGGGCCCATGTCCGCCTGCACTGGGACCTCAGAGCAGCCTGCAGCCACTTGAGCCTGTGCCCTTCCTCCCGCCCCCAGGCCATCATCTACGAGGGGCAGGACAAGAACCCGGAGATGTGCCGCGTGCTGCTCACCCACGAGATCATGTGCAGGTGAGGAGGGCTGGCTCCCTGGCACCTTGACGTTGGCTGAGATTTTGTCAAGGATTCCCCCCCCCTCCCCCAGACCCTGCCCACTGCCACTGCCACTGCCACCACCGCCCTCCTTGCTGCTCCCTGGGAAAGCCTGGGGCGGGGGTGGGGGTGGTGGTGAGGAAAGAGGGAGGCCCCTGGGCACAGTGCTAGCTAAGAGAGGGTCCTTGAGGCCCCATTAACCTGGCCTGTTTATGTGGCTCCGCCAAGTGTTTTTGTAAGAGAAGCTCAGCCACTGCTGGGAAGCTTCACTAATAACGCTCAGGGGAGGGCTCTCTGGGGATGTGGGGGCAGGGCCTGGGCCTCCTGGATTCCCTTCAGAGCAGGAGAGAGGAAACTTTGCTGCCTCCTACTTGACCCCGGGGCACTTCCTGGGAGGGGGCAGGGGAAGAGGGGGGCACACAGCTATTGGCTCCCCTTCCCCATCACCACAAGACGTGGCGTTTCTAGGCAAGATCTCCCCAGGAGATGCCAGTCAGACAGCGTCCAGTTCCTCCTACATGGAAGAGAATGCAATGTGCAAAAATCTGGTTGGATAAGAAATTTTAGTTAGAAAAAAATAGATTTTAAAAAATCTGGTTGGGATGAAGGCTGCCTCTGGGAAGTGTAGTGACGTGACAAGGAGGGGCCCATGAGGCTTCTGGGGCGCTGGGCACTACGTGGTGTTTGTCGGGGGCTGTTAGATGGGCAGGTTCACCCTGTGAGGACTCCTGAGCTGCATGCTTACCATCTGAGCTGTCTCTGTGAATAAAGAGAGAGTGAGAGGCCCTGTGGGCGGCCAGCCGCCTGCCCTTTCCCGATCCTCCAGCCGCAGCGTACCTTAGGGCAGTGTTTTTCAACCTTTTTTGGGCAAAGGCACACTTGTTTCATGAAAAAAATCACGAGGCACACCACCATTAGAAAATGTTAAAAAATTTAACTCTGTGCCTATATTGACTATATATAAAGTAATTCTCTTGAATAGGAATCAAATAAACACAAAGAAAGTATTTTATAATTACTTTATTATGAAATATTAAGTAAACAAAATAGTGAAAAATTATAAAATTATAAAATTCTTGTCTTGTCTGCACCTACGGCACACCAGGCAACAACTAGTGTGCCGCGGAACAGCGGTTGAAAAACGCTGTCTTAGGGACAAGGTTCACTGCCAACCTTATCCCCTGGGCTGGACCCTCACTGCCTTTCGCCCCCAGGTCCCTGGGAGTGAGTCCCTCTGGCCCTAGGATTCCATACCCAGACACACACACACACACACACACACACACACACACACACAATCTCCCTCTCCTTCACTCCCTTTCTCCTTCCCTCCTTCATCTTCCCATCAGCCGGTGCTGTGACCGGAAGAGCTGTGGCAACCGGAATGAGACACCCTCAGACCCCGTCATTATTGACAGGTACAGCGAGGGGAGGCCTGGGAGCTGCGAGGCCTGGCAGCCTGGGCTCAGGCACAGAGTGGTGGCGGCTCCAGGGAGGGATGGAGCTGCCCACCCCCTCTTTCACCTCCATGTTGGTGGCTCCCAGCAGAAAAAAAAGTCAGACACCAGGGAGCCACCAGCCGTGGCCCCTGAAGGAAGCCTTGGTGGCAAACTTTCTGGGGCTGGGCTTAGGAGCTGTGCTCCCTGAGGGGGCCTGAGGAGGGGAAGGGATGGGGGCGGGGAGTGGGATGTGAACTTGCAGCAGAGAGAGGCTGGGAGAATGAAGACACTGCTGGATCCAGTCCAGATGCCACCTCTGACTTCTCTGAATGTCCCTTCATTTGAAAACTGGAGAAATACTTGACAAGTTTCAAGGATTGCCAAGGTGATGCATGTAAACATTTATTCTCACCCTAGCCAGTTTGGCTCAGTGGATAGAATGTTGGCCTGCAAGCTGAAAGGTCCCAGGTTCAATTCCGCTCAAGGGCACATGGCCGGGCTGTGGGCTCAATCCCCAGTGGGGGACTTGCAGGAGGCAGCCGATCCATGATTCTCTCTCATCATTGATGTTTCTCTCTCTCTTCCTCTTCCTTACTCTCTGAAATCAATAAAAAATATTAAAAAAAATTTTTTTAAATTATTTTCCCACCATAATTTTTAAAAATTAATTTTTGAATAGGAAATATATATATAAGGTAAAAAATTCAAAAGGTATTACAAAAGAGTAAATAACAAAAAGTAAGTCGTCTGCCCCACTGCTAGGTATACCATGCTACACACACTTTTATATTTTGCCTTTTTAAAAAGAACTGTAACATACATACTACAGGGGCAAAATTAGGTTTGCAGTTGTGAGTACGTGAGACACAGAGTTTATTCTTGTATTATTTTCCATATGAATAACTATAAAGTTATTTTGTAGTTATTTTGTTAATTTGGCCCCACCTTTTATACCTTAAAAGTCATTCCAGCCCTAACCAGTTTGGCTCAGTGGATAGAGCGTCGGCCTGGGGACTGAAGGTCCTGGGTTCCATTCCCGGTCAGGGCATGTGCCTGGGTTGAAGGCTTGATCTCCAGTGGGGGGCATGCAGGAGACAGCCGATCAATGATTCTCTCTCATCATTGATGTTTCTATCTTTCCCTCTCCATTCCTGTCTGAACTCAATAAAAATATATTAAAAAAAAAAACTTTGTAACAGATAAAACATTCACAAAGTACAGATTTTTAAATTGAAAAGGATTTACAGCAAAGTCTCCTACCTCTGCCTCTGATCCATCCTTCACCCTTCAAATAAGCAATCACTGTTAGCAGCGTCTGGTGTATCCTTCCTGAAATAGTCTGTGCATACACAAGAAAGCACAGATATACGTTATTTTGCACCTTTCCCTTTATTTTTATAAAAGGGGGCATTTTAAATGTACTTTCAGCACCTTTCTAAAAAGTGGGCACAGGTAGCTTTTTATCTATCGGGAAGCTTATCTCACAACACGAGAAGTTTCTTTACTCTGTTTGTGCTACTGTAAAGTATCCCACTGCATGGATAAACTGACATTCCTTTAAATGGTTTTATAGCTCTACATTTTGGCTGTTTTCATTCTTTTTCAGGGATAAAATATGCTGCAGTGAATTACTCTGTGTCATTTTTGCACATGTATGAATTTTACGAAAGATATTATGAAAAGTAGAATTGCTGGGTCCAAAGATAGGTGCATTTATGATTTTGATAGTTATTGCCTGTTTACCTCTGTAGAGATTATACCGATTGGCATTCATACCAACAATTTTGAGAATGCCTGTTCTCCACACTCTTGCCAATTATGTACGTTGTTTATTCATTCAGCAAATAATTTTTTTAAATATATTTTTATTGATTTCAGAGAGGAAGGAAGAGGGGGAGAGAGAGAGATAGAAACATCAATGATGAGAGCGAATCATTAATCGGTTACCCTCCTGCACTCCCCCTACTGGGGATCGAGCCTACAACCCAGGCATGTGCCCAGACTGGGAATCAAACCCTGGCTTCCTGGTTCATAGGTTGACGCTCAGTCACCAAGCCACACCAGCTGGGCAACAAACAATGTTTTAACGTCTCCTTGTGCCAGGGCATCTTCTAATACGCCGTGGATTAAGCAGTGATGAAAATAGACAAAAAGCTTTGTGTTCATGGGCTTATGATCTAATAGGTGAGACAGACATGAGCCGAGTGGATAAAACAGATAGCATGTTAGGTGGCGATAACAGCTAAGGAGAAAAAGGGAGCCATCGGGAGAGGTCAGCGCACGCCCAGGATGGGAGTGCTGCAGTTTTAGATGATGGAAGGAAGGCTTCACTGAAAAGATGACATTTGAGCCAAGACCTAAAGGAAGTAAGGGAATGAGCCACGTCTGAACCTGGGGGGGGGGAATGGTCCTGGAGGGAGGGTACCTGGTGTGTTTAAGGAACAGCAAGATGGCCCAGGTGACTGGAGGAGGTGAAGCCAGAGGGTTAATGGCGGGGCAGGAGGAAGGCAAGATCATGCAGGGCCTTGTAGGCTGAGTGTGGGCCATGCATGTAGGCTCTTGTAAGGACTTGGGCGTTTATTCTGAACGATGTGGAAGCCGCTGGGGGATCTGGGGAAGAATGATATGACCTGGTTTCTGTTTCAGCGAGGTCACTGTGGCTCCCGTGTTGAAGATGACCTGGAGGAAGCGAGGGAGGAAGCAGGGAGATAGGTGCGTTAGGAAGCCATTTCAGTTCTCCCAGTGGGAGATGATGGAGGCTAAGACCAAGGATGTTATAAGAAGAGGTTGTAAGAAGTGGTTAGATTCGGGATGTATTTCACAAGCAGTGTTATGGAAGGAGAGACAGTTACAAAGAGAAGTCAGTGATGTCCCCAAGGTTTCTGATGTGTAAACTTAGAAAGAACTTTTGTTTACTGAGAAGGAGATTTCAGGGGAAGCAGGTTTGGGAGGAGGGAAATCAGGAGTTTGGTTTTGGATGTGTTCTGTTTAAGATGGGAATGTTGAAAAAGCAGCTAAAACTATGAGTTTGGCTTGGCCCGGCTTGGTTCAGTGATTGAGCATTGACCTATGAACCAGGAGTTCACAGTTCGATTCCTGGTCAGGGCACATGCCTAGGTTTCGGGCCCAGTGTGGGCTATGCAGGAAGCAGCCGATCAATGATTCTCTCTCGTCATTGATGTTTTTATCTCTCTCTTTTCCTCTCTGAAATCAATAAAAGTATATTAAAACAAAATAACAACAACACATGAGTATGGTTCTCAAGGGAAAGATCCAGGATGCAGATAGAATTTAAATGAATGAGCCAAAACCGGTTTGGCTCAGTGGTAGAGCGTCGGTCTGCGGACTGAAAGGTCCCAGGTTCGATTCTGGTCAGGGGCATGTACGCTGGTTGCGGGCACATCCCCAGTAGGGGGTGTGCCAAGAGGCAGCTGGTCGATGTTTCTCTCTCATCGACGTTTCTAGCTCTCTATCTATCTCCCTTTCTCTCTGTAAAAAATCAATAAAAATATTTTTTTTAAAAAAGAATTTAAATGAATGAAATTGGAGGGAATGAGTGTTGACAGAAACTAGAATATGTTCAAGAACTTAATCCTGGGGTGTCTAGTGTTTGTAGATCATAGAGATATGGTAGCAATGAATGAGAAGGAGCAGCCAGTGTAGTCAGAGGGAAATCAGGGGAGTACAGTACCCCAGATAAGGAAATATTCCAAAAAGGACACAGTGGTCAACTGCATCCCATGCTGCTTGTGGATAAGATAAAAAGGACCAAGGATTGACCACTGGATTTAGCAACATGGGGAACCTTGGTGACATCAATAACAGCGATTTCCATGGAGGGGAGAAGCAGAAGTCTGGCAGGGTGTTTAAGAAAGAATGGGAGACCCTAGCCGGTTTGGCTCAGTGGATAGTGTGTCTGGCCTGCAGTCTGAAGGGTCCCAAGTTGGATTCCAGTCAAGAGCACGTGCCCAGGTTGTGGGCTCTGTCCTCGGTAGGCTGGTTCTATCTCAGCATTGATGTTTCTATCTCTCCCTCTTCCTTCCTCTCTGAAAGCAATAAAAATTAAAAATAAAAGAATCGCTTTTAAAAAATGAGTAGGAGAAGAGAGATTAGAGACAATGACTAAAGGAATTCTTTTGAGTTTTGCTGTAAAGGGATCAAAAACGTGGTGCTGGCCGGAGCACAAGGTAAGGCCAAGAAAAAATATATAGCCGAAACCAGTTTGGCTCAGTGATAGAGTGTCGGTCTGCAGACTAAAAGGTCCCAGGTACAATTCCTGTCAAGGGCATGTACTTGGGTTTCGGGCACATCCTCAGTAGGGGATGTGCAAGAGGCAGCTGGTCGATGTTTCTCTCTCATCGATGTTTCTAGCTCTCTATCTCCCTCCCTTCCTCTCTGCAAAAAAAATCAATAAAATATATATATTTTTTTTAAAGAAAGGAAAAGAAAAAATATATAGCTTGTTCATATGCTGATGAGAACTCAGTAGGAAAGGGGGAAATGATGATGCAAGAGATAGAAGAGAGACTTGCTGAAGCCATGTCCTTTAGCTGGCAAAGACATGGGACCCTGTGCCCAGGACTGGTTTTAGCTGAAAGCACAAAGTTATCCATGGAAACAGTAGTGAAGATGGGTAAACGGGTACATACAATGTGGGAGCTTGCAGACATTCTCTTCTGGTTGCTTTGTTTTCTCAGAAAAATAAGAAGCAAGGTCAACAGTCGAGGATGAGGATGGAAAGGGAGACATTAGGGCATAAAATAGTTGTCCAGGGGAGCGAATGGGCCATGGAAATGTGTGATTGCCAAGTAGCACTAAAGACCCTCCTGAGGTCTGTGGTCATAAATTTCAAGCGAGAATTTTCTCCAGCCATGCAGAGTTGCACACATGCAGGTACGGTGAAACACGAGAGGGCAAGAGAGTGTACGCAAGGGGTGTTTACAAAATGGAACAAGCAGTTTAAGCTGGTTAGGAGAGGA